ACAGCAACCCGCCGTTATTGGGGCACCCGGACAATCCCCGTTGATCCGAGAGACGGCCGGCTGTGGGCGGCCGACTCACCACCGGTCACCTCTGCCGGGCAGCCCCCGATCCGCTGACCGGTGACGGGCCGCCGCCCTCGCCCTCCCCGTCGTTAGGGGTGACTCGTCTCTCTCCGCGCGGCAGTCGCGGGCCGGTCAGGACGTCATGCTCCTCCTGATTTCCTTCGTGTCGTTCCTTCCGGCCGATCGCTGGTGCGGGCACGTAATTGCTTTCCCCGGCCGTGTTTGCAAACACGACAAGATCAATACGGCGGGAATAACGTTCGGGCAACTCTGCGCCGGTATGATTTCCCTCCAGAAGGGCCCCGTCGTCGTCGTCCATCCGCCCCGCCCCCTTGATTCCACCACTCCGACTTCCGGGAAGTGGCCGAATTTATTCAGGCCTGATAGCGCCCCCTATCGATAGGCTCGTGCTCGAGCTTTGGCCTTCGCGTCGTAGCGGTCCTTTGTCTACAACACCTCGTCCGCCCCCTTCCGCCCCGCCGCCCGTAGCCATGCACGCTTATCCAAAGCGCCCACAGCGACGCGTGACGGTGGCTGACGCCTTCAGATGATCGGAAATGGCCCCCCCAGTTCGCTTGGCTGGCCGCCACTCACCTCCTCGCTGATCCGGTGAAGCGAGAGAGCTGGCTCACTTCGAAACAAAAGAGCGCGTGGGTATGAGGAGAAACCGCTCTCGCAAACCACACAATGGAGCTCCGATGAACGAATGTTGTACACCTGCAGGTGTGTGAAAATCGAGAGGGGTTTTACTCCAAGAAAACGTGTACTGAGATCTCTGTATCACACTGTATTACGCGGTATTACGCCGGTATACATGGAAAAAATTACCATTTTAAAGCATATTTTGTTATTTTTCGGTATTACATTGTGCGTAATACCGTGTAATACCCAGGTCAGGTGTACAGGGTATTACGGGGGTGTGAGTTACCATCTGCAGGTGTGTGAAAATTTTGTCGCACACCTGCAGGCGTGTGAGTTTATTTCACTCACCTGCAGGTGTGCCACATTCGTACACTTTGGTTTCCAGAGCAGTGCGACGCGCAAGCGTAAGTACGCGTATATTGTGTAATATGCTGCACTTGTGCTACCCCCGCGCTGTTCCGGCCGCCTGATGACGCGGTTCACGCCTGGACGCCTCGGGAGCAATTAGCCCCCGAAACAGCACGAAACACCAGAGTGATGTAACCCGCGCAGACTCCACGTCACACCGCGCTTTTGAGGCGCCGTGTCGCTGACGGTGGTGCCGACGGCGGGTCGGACACGGCGGGGGGCCGACGGCCAACATGTTGCGACCGACATGTTGTGGCCGACACGTTGTGGCCGACACGGCGGGGCGGGGCCGACAACGCCGGGGCTGGCTTTCACTGGACGGCCGGGCCCCTGCAAACAGACGGGTAGGCCACCCGATGTGCGCACCAGCTAGCGGGTGGCCTACTCCCGATCGACAGGGGCTCTTAGAATACTGCTGCCAGGCTAGAGCCCCGTCAGGCTAGCGCTAGCTCGGTAACACACCTTTCTTTAAATCGGGCATTCCTTCGCCAATTTAGGAAAAGAAATTTGTGACTTACTTCAGGTAAGTCAAGGATATTGTAACGTAGAAAAACGGTTATTAGCGCTAATATCTAGATCTAGATCAAAGAACTCGAGAATGATGTACCAATTGAGACTAAAACAAACTTACAATAAAATCAGAAATTTCGGTGATTTGTACTGGAAATAAAATGTCAATGTGAGCAGTGCTGCAAGATTGACAGAGCTGCTAGCTGCTATAGGAGCCGGCCCTGACTCCCCTGTCGTGGGTTGCGGCCTAAATCACTTTCGTTGCGACAACTCTGTCGAGAATGCGGTCCCCCAAAGAATGTGAGCAAACGCCCTTGCTTCATTTTTTTCACCATCAGTGGTAAAATTTTCATGCTGTTCCAAGCCATGTTTACGCACTCCTGGGATTGCCTACACCGCCACAGCTGCGCCCGCAGGGCGTGTGGGTGGAGGTGGGGC